TTTTTCAAAGTACATTCACGGGCACTCGAGCCTTTCCCCAGATCAAGAAAGAGAAAAGAATACAAGTAAAAAAAAAGGCAAGAAGCTTGAATTTACAGACCTAGTGACCGGACGGTGGACAGGAATCAGATTCTTACAAGAGGGGTTGTTGTTCCTGAACAAGATTAAATATTCAAAACATCTAAGCAATTGGAAACATATAGCACACAAATGACAAACACCTATTTTATATGAATTCTACATACTCTTTCAAATCCCCTCGTTTTACAACAGCACAAGGGTGAGGAACAACTTCAACTATGTTGGCATCGATTGTACTCAATGCCCTTCTACTATTCCCAGTACATTTTTGGCCACCTTGCAACAAACCCCCTAAAATTCGTACATTTAGAAATAAAAATGTGAAATTTAATCAGACAGCCTTTAACCAGGATTTTACGCTGTAATTCATAGTAAATAAATTCAGATTTGAACAAATGTAGAAATCTAAATGAAAAGAAGACGTAAAAAGGGCTGGATTTACAGTACCTTCAGTTTTTGAAGATCTGATCAAACCTGGAAAGTTCTCTTTTGATGCGGCCATCAGTAGTCTTCGAACAAGGCTTCTGAAAATTTAAACATACAAAATTAAAGGACAGATAAAAAATCAGATTCAAGGTTAATCAAGACCAACATATCCCAACTGGATAGTGGGGAAAAGAAAAAAGGGAACCTCAAAATCAAGAAAATCAGAAGAAAAAAGAAACCCACTTTACCTCTGTAAATTCACTCAAGAATCCGATAGGATTTGAGAAAGACGAGAAAGAAAAGAGCCCTTTAGGATAAATCGATGGAAGATCAAAGGGGACTTCGAAAAAAGAGATCTTTCTCTCTCTATATCTCGCTCTCGATCTCGTTCTTGAGAGTGTTCAATCGAATTTTCTCGCATAGAACGTGAAAACAGCTGATAAATGTGTTTCTGGGCTCACATTACAAGCCTCACAATTCTCTTTTTTTCTCTTCAAGTATTTGAAAACAACGGCTAGTTAAGGTCATATGCCGTACTATGAAAGGTTGTGTTTGTTTCCTGTTTGGCCCAAATCCAACGGTTATTTTCATGTTTTTGCTCTTTTGAACCAAAAACAAAAATGTCATATATTATTAAGTATTAACCTCCCTTTTTGGTTTATTTCTTGCAATTTGATCATTGTTTTATTTTTCTTGTGATAATGATGCTATTTTTTAAGTTTTTTTGAGTATTTTTGTGGTGAGCCAAACAGATCTTTCTGATATTTCCTTGCATCACACATCTTCATTATATTATATGTATAGCAAGCATATTTCAAGTTCCCAATTTCATTGCATAAAATCCACCTTATGCCACTTATAGTAAGGCCTTAATTATGGAATCATGAGAATATACAATAGTAAAAAAAAAAAAAATCACTTTAGATTTTTGTGAAGATGGTGGAATATATATTATGCACCTAAAAAAGACATTCTTAGTTAATTACGTATGTAAATAAAAAAAAATACTATGTAAAAGAAAATATAAGAAAACTTGTATGCTATATGATTATATAAGTAAGGAAAGAAAAATATTTGAAAAATAGAGTATCTATACGAAAAGACATTATTTTTTAATAACAAAGTATGTCTTATGTTAGCCGATATCTCTATTCATAATTTTGTAATTTTTTATTTAAGAATATCATATTTTAAAAAACAAGATAAACGCATACAATTTAACTCCATCTATAAATTTGTAATATTTTTAGTGAAACTTGATACTATGGGAGCTCCATTTGCAAAGGCTCCCCAAATTACACATACACAATGGCAAAGTTTTTGCAAAGCAAAAGATATGATGATTTGATTTGAAATAATATCCCATGGAGCATAGACATTTTTCCACGAATTTTCTCCTGTTTTATTTTTTATACTCTTCAACAATTTTTAACATAAATTTGTCCAATGGCTCTATTATTGTGTAATTTATACAAGAATCATTCACATGACATTTTGACCTTATTGATTCCTTGTGTGTAAAGCTTCTCAAATTTAAATGTTTGTTAAACCAGCAAGAGTACAATGAAATGTTGATGACGCCTTGCAATTTTCGATGGACCATTGATACGAATCTGGTTGGCCCTTATTGAGATAAAATACTCTTCAAGTGAGTACAAACTTCAATATTCGTTATTCGAGTGAACGAAACTCCTAAGAAGTCATCGATTATACAATTTATAGCATTTTTCATATGTCCAATGACCAAATTAAAAGGCTTACATACTTATAGCCAAAGGACTCCAAACCCTAATATATATGTCCCATCATTGACAGTATTTCATTATATCCAAAACAGTAATGCTAAGGAGCCAACAGCCAATGGGACAGTTCCATGTGAGGCTGTCATGTCCTATGTTGGAGTTGTCCCATTGGCTGTTGGTTCCATGACGGAACCAACAGTTGGCTCCTTAGCAATATTAATATCCAAAAATCTAACATTGCATATCAACAACTCCAAATTAATCCCAATCAGTTAGTCATCTCTATGAAGCCAAATCAATAGTATATCTCCAATAATGATTTGATATATACGTATAAATTGTGAGAGTAGAGTATAAATATATCTCCCTACTATACAATACAGCTCAATTAATTTATCTAGGCTAAACTTCTTCTCAACCTATTTCTTATATAAAAAAAACAGCATACAAGTTACAACCCATGCTTAAGGCCAGTTCAAAATTATTGATCCGTTGGAGAAAAATATCGTCAACAAAAGGCTGCATAAATTGTTGAGATATCGATAATTTTTTTTAAATAAAAAAAAAATGATTATTTCATATGTGGTCATCATCATATAAATAATGACTCATGCATATGATAGGATAAGACAAAAGTTCCTTATGAATAGCCCTATTCATTCATCATTACTCTAATTCCCATAACAACATCCATCCACCTCACCCATTTTTTCATTGGGTAGTGATTAATATATAAAAATGCAATTATTAAATACAATAAATGTAAATACAATAAATGTNAGTTAATATAAAAAAAATTGTGAGTAGGCGATTTAAAAAATAAAAAATAAATAAATAAAAGTAGTAGTAATTGAGAATAATATAGCATAAATATCCAATCTGGTAACGTCGAACACTCCAACTGGCTAGAATAGTTGGCTCAAACCTTTTCCTGCCGGTAGAACGCCGAGTACCTGCAAAAACTCTTACACCGATGGGATTTTCGGTGAAGAGCCTCCAATACTTAAGTCAATATCACTCCAAAACTCAGGTCTCAAAGAGTATAATGGAAATTGTATGCAAAATCGTAAAGTCCACCCTTATATATAGGGGTGAGGTACCTGTTCTAGAAGCTGCCAGGGTTAGCTGAGCTGGCTGCCCAAGAGCTGCCCCGGCCTGCCTGATGGTACAACACACACTAGGGGTGTGTACTCAGAGACGGTTATTCATAATGGACCAATCAGGTCGCACCACGTGTCCTCCCCACTTTGATTCCTCTGAGTTCTCCTCGAAGGCTCTAGTGTTCGACCAAGTCTAGGTCAATCCGCTGACTGCTCCAAGTCTGGAAAGTGGCCGATCAGACGACCAGTTGTACCGCAGGTCGATTTTCAACCAGACCCTTTGATAGGGAACCATACCGTCGCAACCGAACCGGTCGAGAAAGGAAGAGCGTGGGCTGGGATCGATACCACACGTATGGGGACCGATCGCGTGATCGAGCCATCAGGCCAGTGGTGGGATCGAACTCTTAGGCTACGGTATCGATCACAGGATCGAGCCACTAAGCCAATGGCGGGATCGAACTCTCAGGCTTGGTTACCATCGAATTAGTCTAATATTTTAAGGATACCCGTACGAGAGACAATTGCCTATATATATATATATATTGCGGTTGGTAAGAAAAAGGTCGAGTTACATTTATTACTCAACTACCAGAATACAATTACGGATCATCTTCTTCTCCAAAATACTAACTTAAGCTTTGGAGGGTTTTAAGCCGGAAAACCTTCGGCGTACTTTGCAGGTATCCGGGAGCTTCACTTCAGATCGGAAACCGGGAAAGGAAGTCACACCCTTGAACCGAGATCGCTCTGGACCGGAGCCACTCACACGAGATCTTATCACCCTCCATGAATCTAGGACCAACCTGTCCTCCTTGTACCGGAATCCCTCTTTAGGCTATCTTCCAATCCACAAGCTCTTGCTCCCATAGGTTCGACCACGATCACCCTTTTCGTATTTGCTCGGCCAGTATGGTTCTGCTGATTCGCTCGATCGGTTCGCTAGACTGGCTTATTCGGCCGGTTTACTCTTTTAGTTAAGGTATCCCATATCACAACCCAACTTAATAAACCAAAAGAAAAAGGGTAAAATATTGACTGCAACATACTATAAACGTTTTTTTACTTTAGAATCTATAGAATATTTCGTGGTAAGATTAGACATGTTCACGGGCCTAACCGGGACGGTTAGGCCCGTTGACCACAGGCCTTGAATCGGTCCGTGGTTTTACTTGGGTCGGTTCATGATTTTTGACAATTGAATCACCGGTCCGGTTCCAAATCGAAACCGACACTGAAATTGGCGGTACGACGTTTTTTTTTTTCTGATAGCTTTTTTTTAATCTATTGGTTCGGCCCAGAATCGACGAGCCAGTTCAGAACCGGCCAGTATATATTATCGGTCCAGTTCAGAGCCACAAAAAATGCGGCTCAAAACCGGCTCGAAATCGGGATTTGGCCGTGACTAAGTGAAATGCAACATAAACTTAATAAACATTTATAATTTTCAACTTCGTCTACATCATGACCATACGATCAGGGGCGAAACCACGCTATGGCAAGGAGTGGCCTCGGCCATCCCATAATTTTTGTTTTTTTTAATAGTTATAGGGGCCGAGGTCGCCGGCCGGAGGCGGCGCCCTTCCATGAAATCTGCGCACAGGGAGAGGGAGTCAGGGATGGACAGTTGCTCAATTCGATCGCAGAGAGCTCAATATTGCCGAACAATGGTCGGGGCTTGGGAGAAGCCGCGGCCCGAAGGAAATCGAGGCTCGATGTTGCCGGAGGTCAAGGCCCGTCGGAGGTCGCAGCCCAGACGTCGCGGTGTTTCTGCACTATACGATGCCGTCGAAAGCTTGGGCTTGTCGGACGATAGTCGAGCGTGCGAACGGTCGCCGGTCGGAGCTTTGAACGCCGGGAGATTGTCGCCAGCTACATGCGCTCGAAGCCGCTGGAAGAGGTTCACCGGAGCGGCGCCGACAAAGGGCTCAGCAGGGTCCTTGCGTGTGGCTGAAGGCCGAGGGAGAAGGTGAATTTTTCGAAAAATTTTGAGAGATCAAGGGAGAGGCGTCGAGAGCGCTTAATTTCTGATCCTTCAGGCCTAAAATTTCAGATCTCCCAAGGTCGAGAAAAACGTAAAGGAGAGAGAGGGTTTTCTTGCAGGAAAATTAAGAGGAATTCAATGACATCAATTGTGGGCCATTACTCCATAAATGAATAATGTAATAGCACGGTTTTGGGGTCTCTTTGCCGGTCAAAATGGACTATTAAGGGCTGATGTATTTTTACCAAAATTAAGCTCTTTGATTTTAAAATTTGAAACAAAATATTGGGCCAAAACCATATTCGTAGGGTCAGTCTTTGAGGTAAATGGACCGAATTATAGACATCAATGGGTCACAAAATAAATATCCGAGGTTCGGGTTGAAGTAGCTCAAAAACGAAATGAAACGGATAAAATTTTGTTGTGGTCTAATGAAAAATCGGTCATCTCTTTATTCGGATTCTGGTTTCGCCACTGCATACGATCATTCGCAAACATGAATACATGCATGGCTAAGACGTAGGCGAGGTTGGAAATTATGAATACTAATGAAATTCAGTTTACATTTTACGACAGAAAATAAAAACAATATGTTTTACTTAAAAGAATAAAATAAATCCAAATATAAATTTTCAGATCATAACTAACAACTAACTTTCAAAAATATCCATCTTCCCCTCCAATCCGCGAAAAAATTGTTGAACTTCTCATCTATCCATCCATCCATCCATCCATCCTTCTCTTTTCTTCATAAAACCCGAAAAACCTGCAAGAAACATGACAAAAGTATAAATTTAGGTCTACTTCAGAAAAATTCATTGAATTTGGAGAAAAAACACACAAAAAAGCACCAAACAGGGGGTTTCCCTTCTCCTCCCAACCAAATCTCCACAACTTATAAGGGAGAAGAAAAGAAACAAATAAACAAACAAAAGAGAAACTATATAAAAAAAATAATAATAATAAAAATAAAAAAAAAAAGACGAAAAAAACCTTTTGCACTCCAACTGTTTGATAAAAAAACATCAAGAATGGTGACCAATCACGAATTAATCGAATTAGACGATGAAATTGATCAGGGATTAGAAGCCTCATCCAACCCATCGAGCCCGCGTGCCTCCCGAACGGGCGCTAATGTGGTGGATGAAATCATCGACATTATCGAGTCCGTGAAAGCCATAGGCGAATACAGGAGGACTCAGAGGAAAGAATGCTCGATCCTTGTCCGAAGGCTAAAGCTTTTCTTGCCGGTTTTGGAGGAAATTAAAGACGTGGATAAGCCAATCGTGCCTGAATCGGGAACCATTTATCTCAAGAGATTGAAAAAGGCTTTTCAATCTGCCAAGAAACTACTCAAGTTGTGCCATGGAGGCAGCAAGATTTATCTGGTTAGATTTTTCTTTTCTTTTTTTTCTTTTTCTTTCTTTTTTTGTTTTTTGGTTCTGTTTTCCGTTCGGTTTTTCGTTGTTTCGTAAAGTTGGTAACCGTTTGGAAATTACGAGAGATTTGTTTCTGTTTTGGCGGGGTTTCAGGCGTTGGAAAGCGAAGCCATGATGGTTCGATTTCATGGCGTGTACGAAAACATCAGCCAGGCCGTTGAAGGAATGCCGTACGAGGAGCTCGGGATTTCGGATGAAGAGAAAGAACAGGTAGTTAGTTTTCAT